TCATCTGCTTATCCATTTAAAAAAAAAAAAATTATTAATAATTCAGATTTTTTTTTTCTATTCTTCTTTTATTCCCGCTCGGTAGACAAGGGATGGGAAAAATGAAATCAGAAACAATGTGTAATTTCAAAACCAATATAAAAGATAAGGAAATACGTGTTGCAGCTTGAATGACGAAAATGTTAGTTCCAAACGAGAACGAACGCCGATTCATTCCTACCCCCCCACCTTGCGTATGAGTATGCACACTAACATCCACCCCACCCAAACCCACACAACAGTAGCCATTTCAATACATACGTACATCCATCCACGCACACACACATACTATATATATAGTATGTGTGATATATATATATATATATATATATATATATATATATATATATATATATATATATATATATATATATATATATATATATATATATATATATATATATATTAATGTACGCATTATGAAAATGATGTTTAACTTATGGAATAACCCTTGGAGTGTTCAAGCAGAAAAGATCTTGTTTTTGTTTTTTTATGTTTCGTTTTGTTTTTTTTTCCAGTTGGCATCAGTTGACGGGTTCGATCTCAGATAAAACAGAACGAAAAAATAAATAAATAATAAAAAAAAATAAAAGATGGGAAACAAACACCGATTCTGTCGGCGACCAGCTCCTCCCCTCATAGGAAATTTGACCAAAACAATATTTAATACCTTTATTTATTCATTCAGATTTGCCAGATTTTGATCAGATTTGACATATCAGTCCATGTTTTCGAACTGCCTGGTAGGCACACTTTATTGATACAGAAAATAAAACCACCACCCGACACATTTTGAAAATATATATATATATATATATATATATATGGGTGTGTGTTTGTGCATGAATGATTATTACTTTTAGATTTAGTACAAGGCAACAAGTTTATGGACATAGTGAGGATTTTATATATATATATATATATATATATATATATATATATATATATATATATATATATATATATATATATATATGCAGATATAAATATATAAAATATATATGTGTGTGTGTGTTTGTGCATGAGTGATTATTACTTTTTAGATTTAGTACAAGGCAACAAGTTTTGGACACTCAGTGATATATATATATATATATATATATATATATATATATATATATATATAAGTATCCTTGCACTTGTACGTATGTGTGTTTTGTATGTGTGTGTGTATGTATGTACGTCTTCGTTAATTAATTTCAGGTTAGTCTGGCACACGGCCATGGCTTAGAGGACACTGTATGCAACAGCTGCGGTTGCGAGAATATGTTACTCTTTCCCTCTAGACACACAGACACACGCACGCACACATACACACACACACACACATATATATATATATATATATATATATAAATATTTGTGTGTGTGCGCGTGCGCGTGAGTGCGTATGTGTGTGTATATATATATATATATAGAGAGAGAGAGAGGAAAGAGAGTGAGAGAGAGAGTAGGATCTACCTTGTAATCCTTGTTAAATAATTTAATGCAGAATTCTTGCATGTGGGGGGGGGCTTAGTGAGGATCGAACTCACTATTTTACTCGCCATTACTCCTTGACGAGGGCTTTCATATATATATATATATATATATGTGTGTGTGTGTGTGTGTGTGTGTACATTTATATATGCGTGTGTATGTGTGGGGGGGGTGTGTGTGTGTGAGCACGTCCGTTTTAATGAGCACATGACAGGATAGAACTCGTACTTACCTTGCAGATTCAACTGGGCATTTAGCAACACGGCAAGAAACAATGCCCTTCCAACAGTTGTCATAGGGTAAAACATTCTGAAATTTTTGATTGCTCTACGTTCAACCCGATGTTAGTCCAAATATGAGGTGCCATGTAAATCGTACTCACACACTCCGCACTGTGTTTGAGGGCATCCACTAGTCCTTTTTGTGATGGAAGAGGTAGTGTCATCTAGCTGTTAAATTTGTTGCGAACAGCTTACGCGGAGCCCCTCTGCATCGGGCCTCTTCGCCGTTATGATCGGTATTGGCAGTCTTAGTAAGCTCTCAGCTATAGACATTGTACGGTGTACGAGAGTGGTGCGAGCGGATAGGGTTGGTGTGAGTGAGTGAGTATCAGAGTGAGAGAGAGAGAAAGAGAGGGGGATAAATGTAGAGAGAAAGGGGGAAAGTCAGAGGGGAGGGAGGGAGAAAGAGAAAAACACCGAGTGTGACGTGGATAGCCTCCTCCTTCTCCTTCTCCTTTTTTTTTCTCTCTTTTCGTACCCCCATCTCTCTCTCTCTCTTTCAACGTCACTCACGCACACTCGCCTGCCACTGTCTTTACGTTCAATACACTCCTCTACTCACTCTCACATCAAGCGCAACGCTCTCCTTCTCTTCCCCTCTCTTACATTTTAGTTTAACTCTCTTTCCGTTTTATTTTCTTTCCTTCTCTATCTATCTATCTATCTATCTATCTATCTATCTATCTATCTATCTATCTATCTATCTATCCCATTCTTTTAATATCTATCTATCTATCTATCTATCTGTTTTTGCGTGACTTTTTTACTCTTTTCTTTACGTCACCCTTTTTGCTGTCTCTCTCTCTCTCTCTCTCTCTCTCTCTCTCTATATATATATATATATATATATATATATATATATATATGTATGTTTTTGTTTTATTCATTGCACGTCGCTTTTTTATTTCTTTGATTTTAAAATTACCTTTTCTCCTTGCGATGTTTTTTTATTATCTACATTAATTAAATAACTACGAAATCTCTTTTTCTCTCTCTCACTCTCTCTGTCTTCAGCTTGTTTCAACACGTAATCTCCCTTCCTTGCTCTCTTTCCCACTCTCTCTCTCTCTCTCTCTCTCTCTCTCTCCCTTCCCCCCTCTCTAACTCGAGTTCTTTCTATTCTCATGCCCGCTCTTCCAGCTTCCTCTCTCACAAAATTGCGTTTTCCTCATTCGGCTCCTTTATTCAAATTCCGTCGTTAGTTTTTTTTTTTTGGATTTTTTATTTTATTTTATTTTATTTTTCAAATTTCTCACCAATCACTTCTCTCTGTGTCTTCTATATTTTATTTGATTCTCCTTTTTTTTTTCTATGAAGAAGTCACCTACTTTTAGCGAGAAAGAGACATTTATCCCTCTCTCTACCTTGTGTTTATTTTTCACCCCTCCCCACACCAACATTTTTCCCTCTCATGTCTTTTCTCCCGCGATTCAACCTTCCCTGACGATTGTAATGTCGACGCAGCATCGTTTGATTTCGTAATTCTCTGTCAATTTTCTCTATCTATCTATTTGCTTTTATTATTATTATAATTATTATTATTTCTTTATTAACATTTGCTTTTTCATTTTTACTCTTTTCTACTCCTCCATTTTTTTTTATAATCTTTTCCCCAATAATATTTAGTTTGTTTTTTTTATTTCGTTTTTTATTCTTCTCTATTTATCCGTCTTTTACTCTGTTCAACATCCATCTGTCTTGTTCAAATCGCAATTCGTTTACAGGTCGACGACTGGTGTTGCTTTTGTCTTATGTTGTTGCAAATTTGTTTTTTTAAGCGGCATTATTTTATTTTTTTTTTATTCATGTCACTGTTCTCTTTTTTTATTCCACCATATTTGTTTATTTTTAAACTCTTTCAATTTTCATCGTTTCTTATTAAAAATCTATCACGCATTTTTTTCTCTCTCTCTTTTAAATTATTGTCTTATGCTATTTATATCTCTGCATTTCGTTATCTCTCTTTTACTCATGGAATTACTAGGTGGGTGTAAAAGTTTCGATTTTCTTTGAAAAATATAGATCTTGTTTTTTTTTTTTTTTTTTTTTTTTTTTTACTTTGTATTTAAATTCTTCCTAAAAAAATAAATGCTGGTATCTTTTGCATCCTTAAATAAATACCTACCAGTCAGTTTTACTTTCTCTATTTCCAACTACGATATCAGTATTTTTGCAAATATTAACCTTTACATTTCTTTTAATTCTCTGCTAATTCTCTATTCTTTTGATCAATTCATTTATTCCGTATTATATTCTATCAGCATATTATTCACAATATTCGAATCAGTTGGTCTGACATCTTTTTTTTCATTCTTATCGTTGACTTTCCATGTCAGTCTGTTCTTTCCTTCGCTTGCTCAAGATTTGGAGAGAAAAAGAAAGACAATCAAAGCGGAAAGAACTATCACCTCCTTCATTTTGATATGCACGTTTCTCTTACTGTGTCTCTTTCTCTCCTCCCTAAGTTTCGCCCTTCTCCTCTTCTTTACAACCTTCTCTCCCTTCTTTGTACCCTTATTTCTCTTTCTTTTTCACCTTCTCTTTCTAGCCCTCTTGCTATCCCTCTCGCTCTTCCAGTTTCTCTGTATTTGTTTCCCTCTTCCTCTTTTTCCTTTCTTTCTGTCTTTCACTTCGTTTCTTTCTATTCATCTCCTTTCCTTATATTTTCCTTACATTTTTTCGTTGCTTTCTTTTTCATGTCTTTTTCTATATTCTCTCTCTCTCTCTCTCTCTCTCTCTCACAAACACATTCTTCTTCCACTTTCTTTCTCTTATCCTTTTACTCTTTCTTTAACTTTCTCTCTTGCATTCTGTTTATTTTTCTTACATTCGTGTCTATCTTCATTTCTATTATTCTATCATTCTATCATTCTATTATTCTATTTCTTCACTTCCCCTATTATTCAATAACACTTATTTCTTTGTCTTTCTTTTTCGATAATACATTTCTCTTTCTTTTCTTTTTTTTCTTTTTTTTTTCCGTCTTTCCTTTGTCTACATTTTTTCCTTTTCCTTTTCCTTTCCATCCCTTCCCTTCCAATAATTTTTTTTCTTTCTTTCTTTTCTTTCTTTCCTTTTTTTCCTTTCCGTCCCTTCTGTTCTTTTCTTTTTTTTTTTTTACTTTCCTTTCCTTTTTCCGTCCCTTCTTTCTACATTTTCTTTTCTTTTCTTCTTCCTTTTCCTTTCCTTTCGTCCCTTCCTTCCCGTCCCTTCCTTCCGTCTACATTTTTTCTTTTTCTTTTTCTTTTCTTTCCTTTCCTTTCCGTCCTTTCCTTTTCTACATTTTTTCTTTCTTTCTTTTCTTCTTCCCTTTCCCTTCCCTTCCCTGTCCTTCCCTTCCTGTCTACATTTTTCTTTCTTTCTTTTTTTCCTTTTTTCTTTCTTTCCTTTCCTTTCCTCCCTTCCCCTTTCTACATTTTCTTTCTTTTTCTTCTTCCTTTTCCGTCCCTTTCCCTTCCTTCCTGTCTACATTTTCTTTCTTTCTTTTTCCTTTTTTCTTTCCTTTCCTTTCCGTCCCTTCCCTTCCCGTCTACATTTTCTTTCTTTCTTTCTTCTTCCTTTTCCTTTCCTTTCCGTCCCTTCCCTTTCCTTCCCTTTCATTTTCTTTCTTTCCTTTCCTTTCCTTTCCTTTCCTTTCCGTCCTTCCTTCCTGTCCCTTTCCGTCCCTTCCTTCCCTGTCCCTTCCTTCCTGTCTACATTTTCTTTCTTTCTTTTCCTTTCCTTTCCTTTCCTTTTCCTTCCCTTCCGTCCTTTCCTTTCTTTTTCCGTCTTTTTTCCCTTCCCGTCCTTCCCTTCCTACATTTTCTTTCTTTCTTTCTTTCCTTTCCTTTTCCTTTCCTTTCCGTCCCTTCCCTTCCCGTCTACATTTTCTTTCTTTCTTTCTTCTTCCTTTTCCTTTCCTTTCCGTCCCTTCCCTTCCCGTCCCTTCCCTTCCCGTCTACATTTTCTTTCTTTCTTTTCCTTTCCTTTCCTTTCCTTTCCTTTCCGTCCCTTCCCTTCCCGTCTACATTTTCTTTCTTTCTTTCTTCTTCCTTTTCCTTTCTTTTCCCTTCCTTCCCGTTTCCTTTCTTTCCTTTTTCCTTTTTTCTTTCCTTTCCTGTCTTTCTTTTCTTTCTTTCTTTCTTTCTTTTCTTTCTTTTCCTTTCCTTTCCGTCCCTTCCCTTCCCGTCTACATTTTCTTTCTTTCTTTCTTTCTATCTTTCTTTCCAAATAACGACGACTTTTTTCTCGTGTTTGAAAGACTTTATTCACGTTTTGCGTTTCCTTTTTAATCATAATTCAAGCAACAACCGCTCTCTCTCTCTCTCTCTCTCTCTCTCTCTATATATATATATATATATATATATATATATATATATATATATATATGCATACATAGATGTGTTTGCATTTGCAAATTATAATGTTTCCCTTCTCCGCTGAATATAGTTTATTTTTAAAATCATTTTCATAGGTACATACTAACCTTACTTTAGAGCGATTCAAGGACAAATGATATTTACAAAACTGGTGAGACTGTGTTGCGTCAGTATTCTCAACCGTGTATTGTCTTGGTGAACCAGGCACCTTTGATAATCAACATTCATAGTTGTAAAAAAAAGAGTAAGACTCAAACACTGACCACTGACCATAGGAGGTGCAGAGTAAAACCTCTTGCTTTAGTCTGGTACAGGGCCAACAGAACGGTGAGTGATCATTTTGTCTTTACATTGTTTAGAGTGAATAACACTGAATACATATATATATAGGCACCAAATGTTCTTTAAGGCAAATATTATTCAAGACAGTAAACATTTTGTCTCGATTAATTTTAATGATCAGTTGAAGTAAATTACGAATAATCTTTCTTAGAGAAGGAGAAAATTCCGTCAAAAATGGTATGAAGTTCATTTCGCAAGAAAAGTACAAGAAATATGGAACGAGCTTTCGACTTTCTTTAGTCATAGGCTGGGTAGGTAGAGTAAAATGGTGGATTTCGTAGAACTGGTGGGTGTTGTGACGCAGGCAAAGACTGTTCTGATATATAAAGGGATATTCGTAATTTGGAAAAGTTGATCAATTAAAACGCAATATCTGCTGTCTTTAATAATAATAATAATAATGATATATGTATATATAAATAAAAAGAAAGAACAGTAAGATATATAATCCGGTGTTCTTATAGATATTTTTATTTTTACAAAATAGTGCTCAATGTAAATTTACAGAGCATTAATATTATAAATTAATTGATTTAAAATGTTTTTCCGCTACACAGATCTAACCATGTTTCAAAAATGGAAGCTAAAAGCTCAGAATTTAATTTTGTAATTAAATTAAAGACATTAGTTCCATTTCATCCTCAAGCGAATTTTAGCTGTGTCTGTAAAAACCCAGTAATTTTAAAAGTTTCTCTAAAATTCGCTTGAGGATGAAATGGAACTAATGTCTTTAATTTAATTACAAAATTAAATTCTGAGCTTTTAGCTTCCATTTTTGAAACATGGTTAGAACTGTGGAGCGAACAAAACCATATTTTAAATCAATTAATTTATAATATATATATAGGGAGAGAGAGAGAGGTGCGAGGGATAAATATTGTCTAAGTTTATTATTCTTACATGAAAAAAATATATATATATATATATATATATATATATATATATATATATATATATAAGTGAACATAGAAGTCAACACTTAGAGGCGACAGTCTGTTTCATGCTAGATGCAATCGTCAGGCCTGACGATTCCTCTAGCATATAACAGACTGTCGCCTGTAAGTGTTGACTTCTATGTTCACTTTTATAATTACACATGTTTATTTCTGATATTGAGAACTTTATCCCATAAATATAAGACTATATTTCTTCCTTATATATATATATATTTCTTTAATATATATATATATATATATATATATATATATATATATATATATATATATATATATATATATATGAAGAAATATAGTTTTAAGGTGTGCTATATTTATGGGATAAAGTGCTCAATATCAGAGATAGAATAGCGTGTGTAAATATAAAAGTGAACATTGAAGTCAACATTTAGAGTCGACAGGACGATTGCGTCTAGCATGAAACAGCCTGTCGCCTCTAAGTGTTGATTTCATTGTTCAATTTATATATCCAATCATATTTCGAAAAAAAACAAAACATTTTAACAGGTATATTTACCGAAATTATACAAAAATATCTTGGCGTACTAAAGGGTAAATTTATTCTAAAAAGTTGTCATTAGCTTCTACCAGGGCCTCCAGATGACTTCGGATTTTCCTACAACTCTTCTGGACGGCCTACTTGTTTAAACTGGATAACGCTGCCATAATCCTTGCCTTCATTTCATCTTTGTTGTCACAAATAGTAGTTTCTTTGGGGTGGGGGTCCCTAGCTCAACTGCGTTCAACACATAATACAGGGGGAGGGGATTGCAAACTCGGGAGTTTGGTAGCCAGATGTAAGGGGTGATATGATAGCAGAAATTGTTTGACAAGCATGAGTGGGTTCTCCTGCTTGTGTGGCATGGTGCAGAGTCATGTTGCCAGATATAGGTCTTTCCTGCATCTATCACCTTGACCCAGGGCAGCACTATCTCTTCAAGGCACTTGATGTAGGCCTTTGTGCTTAATCTGAGACCCGGGGGGGATAGAATGATGGCATAACCTCGCCATCACTACAGATCGCTCCAAAAACCTTCGTAATCACCATTATACTCATTCAACTCTTTCCGAATCCTTTGCACTGTCTATTGGCATTCAAACACACTGAAATATTATTGTATATTCCTGTGCGAATGCCAAGCAGTACAGCATGACGTTTCAAAACTTCTGGCAGCGTAGGTGGTGTGTAAATATAAAGGATATAGAATCCCGACAAAGTTTTGAAAAAATATGAGAAAAGTGAAAGCCATTTCATTGAAACTAGATTTAATTGCGATTTTCGCCTAATATATACACACACACACACACACACACACACACACACACATATATATATATATATATATATATATATATATATATATATATATATACAAGGGAAGAGGTTATAGTTGTTCCAGAGAGAGAAAAGTGTATCTATTAAAAAAAGAGAGACACCGCAAACGTTTTTGGTTGTAATGAGGATTTTTTTTAAATATATATTATGCTTTATTTTCTATAAATTTGCAACACGAGTTTCGCTTCTCGAAACCTTCTTCAGGCAAGAAATGGATAACACCGAAAAACACAAGGAAAATTAATTCAATTTAATAATATGCTTGAAGAAGGTCGCGAGACCCGAAACACGTGTTGCAAAACTATGGAAAATAAAGCGTAATATATATATGGATTTTAAAAAAATCCACATTACAACCAGAAACTTCTTTTTTATATATATATATATATATATATATATATATCATGGTATTATTATTTAAAAATATGTATTCATCGCAACACAGGAAATTCCATGTTTCGAAAGTAAAAACTGAACTTTTAATAAAAATGTATCCTGATTCGTTAAAAAAGGCAACGCCCTTTTAAAATTCGGTAATCCCTTTCATCCTCCAATTTCAACTATATAATACTATTTAGCTTAAAAAAATAAATCTTTATATTTGAAAGTTATTCAAAATCGCTTGAGAATAGAACAAAAAAAAATAATTTTAAGTTTAATTTAAAGTTTACTTTTAGTTCCGAATCGTGGTAATTTTTGTGCCCAGATGAATATATATTTTTAAATAATAGTATTATAATATTATGAACTACTGTGTATCGAACACTTCTTTTTAACAATAAATGCTAAAAATCTGACTTTCTTTCTTATTTTGATTTATGTATATTTATATATATATATATATATATATATATATATATATATATATCTATCTTTCTATCCATGTACACACACATCCACACACACACACACACACACACATATATATATATATATATATATATATATATATATATATGTATATTGTGTATTTTTAAGCATTCTTTCATTGATACATGTTTCATTATATAATATAGAAAAGCGTCGTCTGTTTATTTTATGTAAATTCTTTTCATATCGTTTGATAAGCTTAATAATATTATCATTAGACCAAGAAAGAAAATCACAATATTGATACATATTTTTTAATCCTATCTGAGCTTTCAGCTTACATAAGCCATTATCAAAGATGACAATTACATTACAATATATTAAACAATACAGGGAAAAACAGTGATGAGAGTCTGTTTTTTTTTACGACAAACTCGTGCATATAAGACGCTGGAAGCGAAAATCGCACCGCAGCTCATGATGTCACATATGACCACGCGAGAGTGAATTCGAGAAGTATTAAGTATGGGACGCCGTTGGTATAAATCCATGGCTTCTGTTACCAAGTATATGCATTTAAAAATAATTGTGGAGATTTCATACTTTATTTTGTTCAGGTTAGGTTTCAACTGTTTTATGTATATAGCTTTAAGAATTTTTAGTTTTTGTTTATTGTTTTCATGTTTAAGTATAGTTGTGTTTTCAAGAAGGATTTTCCGGAATTGTGTATGCGGCCAGGCATGTTGTTTTAAATGCCTGAAAATGTTAGAGTTTTCATTCAAATGTAGTATCAAGCATCGTGAAAGCGAGTTTGTGGTGTGACCAACATAAATATTATTTATTTCGTTGGAGATACAATCTCTCAAAGGGCACTTGAATTTGTAAACTGTTGGTTTTTTGCAAATCGCTAACCGGGGGAGAAGAATCATTGCGAAGAATTTAGTTGGATATACTAGATTTAGTCTAGGATATGATTAACTTAATTTTTTTGCTAGGATCTGTTGATATATATATATATTCACATCAGAGAACTAGGTATTATCTTGAGGCGTTAATGGTGTGCATCTGGTTAAAGATAATGACGTTTCAAGCTCTAAACTCTGCCTTCGCCAGAATCATCGTCCAATGAAATCTTTGTTGCCGTTCTTTTCACAGGAATACAAGACTTATTTCTAAAAATGCATCTATATGTCTCCTTTATTAACAGATTATGAAGTGCCGACGTTTTCAATCATACCAATATATATATATATATATATATATAGCGTCCTGGGTAAGACGATAAACTACATCCGAAGGCAAGGCCTCTGTTGACAGGGTTTTGAGGAACATGGAACCACCTCTTAATTGCTGGTGTCTCCAGGTACCCAGCAATAATAAAGAAAAAAACACTTTATTCTACATTCAAAACCATCACTTGATAAGACGC